GTTGTTGTAGTAGTAGTACTAGTCGTAGTTGTAGAATTAGTAGTAGAAATATAGTTATTATTATTAGTAGTAGTAGTATTATTAGGAGTATTAGTAGTAGTAGTAGTTGTATTAGTAGTAGTAGTAGTAGTAGTAGTAGTAGTAGTAGTACTAGAAGCAGTAGCGGTAGTAGTAGTATTAGGAGTACTATTGGTAGTATTAGCAGTAGTATTGGTAGTAGTAGTACTAGTAGTCGTAGTAGTAGTAGTATGAATAGGAGTAGGAGTAGTATATACAGCAATAGTATTAGTATTAGTAGTAGTAGCAGTATTCGGAGTAGTAGTAACAGTAGTAGTAGTAGTAGCAGTGGTAGTAGTAGTAGTTTTAGTAGTTCTAGTAGTAATAGTAGTAGTCGTAGTAGTAGAATTAGGAGTAGAAATATAGTTAGTATTAGTAGTAGTATTAGTAGTAGTATTAGTAGTAGAATTACAAGAAGCAGTAGTGTTAGTTGTAGTATTGGGAGTAATAGTGGTTGTATTAGTAGTAGTAGTGGTAGTAGTATAATATTTAGTATTCGGAGTAGCAGCAGTTGTGGTAGGATTAGTAGTATTAGTGGAAGTCGTAGTAGAAGAAGTAGGAGCAGCAGTATAATTAGTAGTAGTAGTAGTGGTAGTAGTAGTAGTATTAGAGGTAGTAGCGTTAGTCGAATTATTAAAATAGGTAGTTGTACCATTAATAATATTGGTAGTATTGGTGCCATCAGCGTAGCGGCATTAGTAGCAGGGGTAGAAGTAGTAATAGCAATACTATTTTGGGCAGTAATAGTAGTAGCAGCAGTGACATTAGTAGCCATTATAGCAGCAGTAATAAAAGTAGTAATATTGGTAGCAGTAGTATTGGTGGTCGTGGTAGTAGTAGAACTGGCGTTGGCAGTGTTAGCAGTAGTAGTAGTAGTAGTACCAGAATTAAGACTAGTAGAATAAGTAGTATTAACATTTTTAGTAGCAGTAGTAGTAGTAGTGTTATTAGTAGTAGAAGTAGGAGTAGTAGTATTAGAAGCAGTAGCAGTATCAGTAAAAGCAGCAGTACTAAAAGTAGTAATAGTGGTAATAGAAGTATTGGTGGTGGTAGAAGTAGTAGTGGTGGTGGTAGCAGTAATATTACTGGCGGTGGCATTAGTAGTAGTAATAGTAGTAGTAGTAGAAGTAGTAGTATTAGTAATAGTAGTAGTAGTAGAAGTAGTAGCAGAATTGAAACTAGTAGTAGCAGTATCAGTAGAAGTAGTAGTAGCAGTAGTAGTAGTGTTAGAAGTATTAGTAGAAGTGGTAGGGTTAGTAGAATTAGTATTACTAGTAGTAGCATTATTAGTAGTAGCAGTAGTAGTAGTAGCAGTAGTATTGGTAGTATTAGTACTAGCAAAATTAGCAGTGCTAGTAGTATTAGTAGTAGTAGTATTAGTAGTAGTATTATTCTTAATAGTTGCAGGATTAGGCGTAGTAGGAGTAGTAGTAGTAGTAGTAGTGTTCGTATTAGTGCTAGTCGTATGCATTTGGTTGTAGTATTAGCAGTAGCAGTAGTAATAGCAATAATATTTGCCGTGGTAGTAGTAGAAGTATTAGTAGTATCCGTAGTAATAGTAGTAGTAGTAGTAATAGTAGTAGTGGCAGATGTAATATGGTGGTGGTCGCAGCAGTTGTAGTAGCGGTATTAGTAGTAGTGGAAGTAGTAGTAGTAGTTTTAGTAGTAGTAGTATTAGTAGTAGTAGTAGCATTGACAGTAGCAGTAATTTTTCTGTTAGTAATGGTAGTAGTAGTATTAGTGGTAGTGGTATGATTGTTGTGGCAGCCGTAGTAGTAGCGATGTTCGTAGCATAAATAGTAGTACTCGTAGTAGCATTAGTGGTAGTAATACTAGTAGAAGTAGTGATAGATGTCGTAGTAGTTGTTGTAGTAGTACTTGAATTGGTAGTGGTAGTAGTAGTATTAGTGGTAGTAGTAGCAGTAGTTTTGGTGCATGTAGTATTAGTTTTAGTTGTAATAGTAGTAGTACTATTATTATTATTATTACTAGTAGTAGTAGTAGCAATAGTATTAATAGTGGTATTAATAGCAGTATTATTGTTAGAAGAAGCCGCCATTGTATTAGTAGCCGTGCTAATAGTAGTAGTAGTAGAAATATTATTAGCGGTGTTAGTAGTATTGGTAGTAGTAGTAGTAGTAGTAGTAGTAGTAGTAGTAGTAGTAGTAGTAGCAGCAGTATAAGTAGTAGTATTAATAATAGTAGCGGCAGAAATAAACGTGCTGTTGGTAGTATTAGTAGCAGTAATAGTAGTAGTAGTAGTAGTGTTAGTAGTAGTTGTAGTGGTAGTTACAGTAGTACTAATGGTAGTAGTATTAGTGGTAGTATTACGGTGGTGGGGGCAGTAGTAGTATTATTATTATTAAAAGTATTATCAGTAGCAGTAGTAGTAGTGGTAGCAGTAGTAGTAGTAGTCTTAGTCGAAATACTACAAATATTAATATTTCCATTATTGATTTTGGTAGTCGTGGCGTCATCAGCGAAGTTGAATTATAAGCAGGTGTAGCAGTATTACTAGCAGTAGAAGCAGTAGTTGTGCTAGTATTAGTAGTAGAAGTATTAATTGTTGTAGAATTAGTAGTAGTATTTGTAGTAGTAGTAGTAGCACTAATAGCAGCGGTAGCAAAAGAAGTAATATTTGTTGTAGAATTATTAGTAGTATTGCTGGTGTTAGTAGAAGCAGTGGTGGTTTAAGTAGTAGTAGTATTAGTAGTAATAGTAGTAGTAGTAGTAGTAGTAGTAGTAGTAGTAGTAGTAGTAGTATTAATACTAGGAATAGAAGTAGTAGAAGTAGTACTAATATTAGTTGTAGTAGTGTTCGTTGCAGTAGTAGTAGTAGTAGTAGTATTATTATTGTTAGTAGTATTAGCAGTGGTGGTGGAAGTAGAAGTAGTGGTGGTAACAGCAGTAGCAGTTGCCGTGGTATTAGTAGTGGTAGTAGTCGTTGTTGTAGTAGTGTAAGTAGTATGGTTGTGGTGGTGGCAGCAGTAGTAGTAGTAACGGTGGTGGTAGTAGTAGTATTAGTAGTAGTGGTAGTAGTAGTGGTAGCAATGGTAGTAGTAGTAGTGGTAGTATTAGCAGTAGAATTCGCAGTAGTATTCATGGTATTAGTCGTGTTAGTAACAGTAGTAGTAGTACTAGTAGTAGTAGTAGTAGTGGTAGTATTTAAGAGGCAGTGGAATTAGTAGTAGTATTATTAGTAGCAGTATGGCGGTCATTTTAGTAGTAGCAGTAACAGTATTATTAGTACTAGTATTAGTAGTAGCGGTGGTAGTATTAGTAGAAGTAGTACTAGTGGTTGTAGTAGTATTATTGTTAGTAGTAGCAATAGTAGTGGTGCTTGTATAGTAATTGTAGTAGTAGAAGTAGTAGCAGTAGCAGTAGTAGTAGTATTAGTAGTAGTAGTATTAGTAATTGTTGTATTATGAATATTAATAGTAATGTCGGTTATAGTAGTAATAGTGGTAGTAGTAGCCGTAGCATTAGCAGCAGTAGTATTAGTAGTATTGGTAGTGATAGCAGTAGTAGTATTGCTGGTTGTGGTAGTAGTAGTTATAATCGTAGTGGTGGCAGTAGTAGTAGTTGTAGAATAGTAGTAGTAGAAGAGTAGTAGTAGTAGTTGTAGTAGTAGTATTCTTGATAGTAGTAATTGTGGTAATAATAGTAGTAATATTGGTAGTAGTAGCCGCAGTTTTAGTAGTATCAGTAGTATTTCTAGTAGTAGTATTAGTACCATTAGCAATAGTATTAATGGTATTATTGGCAGTATTATTGGTGCTGGTAGTTGTAGTAGTACTGTTGGTTATTTTATTAATAGTGGTGGTGGTTGTAGTATTTGTATTTGTGGCATTAGTTTTAGCAGTGGTTTTAGTAGTTGTGTTACTAACAGTAGTAGTAGCGGTAGTAGTAATTGTAGTAGTAGTTGTCATAGTAGTAGTAGTAGTGTTAGTAATATTAGTTGTAGTGGTAGTATTTGCATTGGTGTTAATAGCAGTAATAGTAGTAGTAGTAGTAGTAGTAGTAGTAGTAGTAGTAGTAGTAGTAGTAGTAGTAGTAGTAGTAATAGTAGTAGCAGTAGTAGTAGTAGTATTATTTGATTTCTTTTTAGTAGTAGTAATTTTACTTTTATTAGTATTAGTAGTAGTAGTAGTGGTACTGGTAGTATTAATAGCAGTATTAGTGTTAGTAAAAGTAGTATTAACAGTAGTAGTATTAGTAGTATTATTAGCATTAGTAATAGTAGTTTTGTTGGTATTAGCAGTAGTATTAGTAGTGGTGTTGGTAGTAGTAATACTAGTAGTTTTAATTGTAGTAATAGCAGTAGTAGTAGCAGTAGTATTATTATTAGTAGTAATAGTAGTAGTAGTATTATTAGTAGTGGTATTAGTAGCAGTAGTATTGGTGCTGGTAGTAGTAGTGGTAGTATCCGTAGTGATACTATTGGTATTGTTAGTAATAATAGTGGTAGTATTAGTAGTAGTAGAAGCATTGCCCGCATCCGCAGTATGTCTTTTCACTAACAGTGGCACTGCTACTAGCGGTAGTGTTAGTTGCAAATCCATTGGCAGTAACAGTCTTTCAGGTAGTATCCGCTGCGCAGATCTTGCATCTACCGATGGGGTAGTGGTAGTGATGCCAGCGGTACCGAGGTGATTTCTTATCCGTTTACCCGGTTAACATCTCGGAAGGCCGTACACTGGCTTACCAGTTTACCCGGAGGGTTGGTCACCGGCTTACGGAGGTGGGAAAGTGCGTTCAGGTGGAAGTTAGGAGAATTCATGCTGTGGTTAAATGCGACTAGAACCCCATCACACCATGTCGTAGGGGTGGTTCTTACAGCTCGTGTATGCTTATCCATGCATGCGTCCTGTCATGTGACTCGGACAATGAACAAACACAGGGCACGTGAATACACTTCAGATAGCCTAGGTTAGTAGGGCTGG